CTGATCCGCAATCTTAAAGTGCGAGGCGCAGATCCGAAGTTAATTGCGGCGGCCTCACAACTCACTTGCGACCAATGCCAAGAAGGCAAGCGAAAAGCCCGGAGACCCATGGTTCAGACGGAGAAGTCAGAACGACTCTGGGAAGTTCTTCAAATGGACCTTTGCCACCACCGCATTGGCAATCAGATCCACCACTTCTTGGTGATGCAAGATGAGGCATCGGGGTATGCCGTGATTCGGCGCATCAAGGTGACGCCGGAGACTGAAGGATGGAATGCCTCATCCGCCGAGATCAAGGTGCTGGTGCAGGAGGCATGGTTCCAGTACTTTGGACCTCCATCCGTGATCAAGCTCGACGCCGAGGGTGCTCTACGGGGTCATCTGGTTACTGACTTGGCTGAGGAGCACGGGGCAGAACTACAAGTATGCCCAGCTGAGCATCATGAGTTCTTAAGTGAAGTGGAACGTCTGATTGGAGTGCTGAAGGTGAAGATCGAAACCTTCTTGAGAGGCAACCCCGTGGATCCCAATCAAGCTGCTCTGGCCATCATCCAGGCACACAACACGCATGCCAGAATCCACGGATTCAGCCCCCTTCAATGGACAATGGGGCGGGACTTTGATGCCGGCGGAGCCTTAGTTCCCCGACCTGGTGAGCTGGCGGCACTATCGGCATCGGCGACCCCGGGAACAGAGGCCTTCCAGAATCGGGAACTTCGTCTACAAGCAGCTAAGGCCTTTATGGAGCATCGGGAACGACAATGGGCATCCCGGGCAGCGAATACAAGGCCTCACCCTTCATCTGTATATCTCCCTGGAGATCTGGTGTTCTATCAGCGCCTACGACACCCAGCAGACATGGTGTCTAATCGGCTGGTGGACAGGCCGAGAATGAGAACCTCCAGGTGGTTTGGACCGGCAAGGGTGCTAGCCGCCGAGACAAAAGGAGAACCTGGAGACCGAAAACCGTCCGCCCATGTCTGGATCATTGCGTCTGGGAGGCTGAAGAAAGCTCATGTGTCTCAGTTGAGACACGCAAGCGAGACGGAGAAGATGATTGCAGAATCATCTGAGACTGTAGTCTACCCGTGGACGTTGACGAGCCTCTCGGCAACGATGAATCGAGGAGCCTACGAGGACCTCACTGTTCCTCCTCTACCTCATCACCGAGTTCTTCCGACAGGCGATGATCGAGCCCCTGGCGAAGGACCTCCCCCTGTCCCAGGAGACCCTGAACTACTTCCGGATGCCGAAGTTGCTGGCGATGATCATGGAGAGCCTTCAGAAGAGGAGCTCCTTCCAGACCGGAGGGTAGAGAATCTGAAGCGAGCAGCCCCGGAGCCAAATGTGGGAGACGAGGAGCTTCTTCGAGATGAAGACGCGTTGGATTTGGATA